AAGGACGCTTTGGGACGTCCCCCCGACGTGAAAAGTGCTATATCAAATGCAAGGATTATTATTATTATTATATTATTAAGTGAGGGAAGGCTGAGTGGGTCATGACTTGGATGTGGGAAGAAAAGACAAATGAGGGTCGAACAAGACACCTAAGTTCCTGACTGGCTTGGTGAGTTGTAGTGTGAAACCATGGAGGTTGACGCTGCTAGAACCTGAGGTGCTGAGTCGCTGGCGCGAGCTAATCAGGAGGGCCTCAGTCTTGATCACATTCAACTGTAGGAAATTTGCCATCATCCAGGACTTGATGTCCGACAGACAGTCTGTCAGGACAGCAGTGGTCCTGGAGTTGAGGGTGGAAGCAGAAAGATAGAGTTGGGTGTCATCCGCATACATATGGAAGTTGACCCCATGTTTGTGGATGATGGCACTAAGGGGGAGCATATAGATATTAAAGAGGAGAGGGCCAAGGACAGAGCCCTGGAGGACGCCAGATGTGACAGTGCATTAGAGGCAACAAAGGTGAGAGAGATAAGAGTCGAACCAGGCCAGGGCAGATCCGTGAAGATTAAGTAAAGAGGAGAGGCAGTGTATGAGGATAATAATAATAATAATAATCCTTGCATTTGATATAGCGCTTTTCACGTCGGGAGGACGTCCCAAAGCGCTTCACAGAACACACTGTAAAGTGAATTGACTGTATATTTGTGGGCGAACGCGGCAGCCAATTGCGCACAGCAATGTCCCACAAACAGTCGTAGATTGAAAATGACCAATTTATTATTGTTTTGTTTTGGAGGGATTATTATTAGGCTCTGTGTGGAGTAAGGAAACTTGCCCAAGGTTTCGCCCTCTGCCTGGAATTGAACTCAGGTCTCCCTCTTGCAAAGCGAGTGCTCTAACCACTGAGCTACAGGACTCCACGATGGATGGAGTGGTTGACAGTGTCGAAGACGGCAGAGAGGTCGAGGAGGACGGGGAGGCAGAGGGATCGAGGGAGCAGGTGGTGGGTTTGAGTTTGCGGACAGTCGTGGTGAGGGAGGAGGGAGAGATAGGGTCGAAGGAGTATAGGGGGGGATGGGTGGAGGTGGATCATTAGGGAGAGGTGATGTGGGGGTGGCTGTGGACAGACCAGATGTGGCTGAACGTATCCCCTCGATTTTTGATTCGAGTAAGTCCAGCATCCCCACAGTTGGAGTTTGAGGAGAGGATGGACTAGGTATGGGAAGGTGAATGGAGGAGACAGTTTGTGGTGGAAAAGAGAAGCCTGGGGTTGTCCTTTGCCTCCAAGATAACCTTGGAGTAGAAGGAGGATTTGGCGGAGGCAAGAGCGCAGCAGTAGGTCTTGGTGTGATGAAGCCAAATCTGCCGATGGACTGTTAGTTTGGATTTGGTCAAGGCGCGTTCGGCAGCTCGCACTTGTGCCTTGAGGGAACGGAGATGGCTGGTGTACCAGGGAGATTTACGGGAGTACGAGGCAGTTCAGGAGGTGAGAGGGGCAAGGGAGTCTAGAATGGAGGAGAGGGAGTTGTGGAGAAATGAGAGCAAGGACGGTAGATCGGTCAGTGAGGGCCAGAGGTGTAGGAGTTCAGATGACTTCAGGGCAGTGGAAAGGGACGAAAAAAAATTCCTAGGACGGTATGTGATGGTAGAGGGTTGAGAAGGGAGAAGAGGTACAGAGGTGTTGAGGGAGCTTAAGCGGTGGTCAGAGATGGCTTTGATGATCATAATAACAATAATAACAGTGCTATATCAAATGAACAGATTATTATTGTGTCAGAAATCCGGTCGGCCAAAGAAATACTTTTTTTTCCTGGGGGGAAAGGGGAATTGTCGGCCAGGACACTGGGAGAAACTCTTTCCTCTTTTCAGAATGAGATTCCACGAGGGTCCATAGTCCGTCTCTTCTTCGCCTTCTCCTCCACACGACCAGCAAAAAGGCACTGCATCATAATGTAAGGGTCAAAATTAAGATGTGAAAATTATTCTTATTAAAATGTGAGATCTTGTTGGAACTAGGGAATGGTTAACAACAAACTGTGTGGAATCTGGCATGCATATTTGCTGCAACGGACTACAGAAATAGTCACTACATGACAGTATTTGCTTTCACATGATATGGTGCTATCAAAATACATGTTTGGAATAAACCGTGTGAAAGAGGTGTGCTGACTCTCTTCACCCATTCCCCCGAAGAATAATAATAATCCTTGCATTTGATAAAGTCATTGAGACGTATCAAAGCGCTTCGCAGGATATACTGTAGAGTGGAGTGACTGTGTATTTTGGGGGTAAAACCCAGCAGCCATTTGCACACAGCAGTGTCCCGCAGACAGCCATCCCTGTAAAACTTGGATCCGCAGTGCATGAAAGCAGTAGACACAGCAGTTTCTGTGTGTAATAGTAGCCAGTGGTGTGATGTGAAACGTTCACTTGCAAACACATGTCCAGCTCCCAGTATTGGAATCTGTGCCAGAAACAAGTTGAAGGGAGCAGCACTTTTATAAGCGTCTGAGAGAACCAAAGACTTTCCTTAATAGACCACTGACATTCACCCTGACCCACTGCCGAGCAATGACCTCGAACGGGTTCACTTTGAGATTATAACAAGCTTGTTCCACCTTAAGCTCAATGGCCTCCTCTGGCGATGTGAGTTCTCATTACAACGACAAATTACCTGCGGAAACCATTACCTTGCTTAAGAGCATCAGATTGGCAGTGTGCCCAGGCTTGGCTCTTAATAATGACATAACTATATAACAGTAATATTATGATTATTACACACTATCCTATATGTTAGAATATAGATATAACTATGTTGTTATATCACTGATAATTATTATAGATTGTCCATTATATAGGGCACGAATTTTTATACACTAAAACTTCTTGTGGTTAAATCATATATAAGGCCATACCATTTTAGAGGTAGCTCCTTTCAAGTGTAGTGACTGTGCATTTGGAGGCAAGGAGGGAGTCAATGTTACAGCCGTGCCCCACGAACACTTGAAGTGAATGACCAAATCACAGGACGCCAGAAGAAACACCCATCTCTTTGGTTCTTTAACGTCCATTTGAAGACACAGACGGGAACTCTAACGTCTGATCAGAAGGACGGCAGTATTGACAATGCAATTCTCTCCTCGCAAAGCCCCCCCCCCCTTCCCCCCGGAGCACCGTCAACTATAGATTCGAATGGGGCTCGAATCCACAATATCCTGAGTGTACAATATTATACAGAGTCGCGAGCAAGGTGTGTGTGTGGTGGTGGTGGGTGGGGGGGGGGAGGGGAAGAGAAAGGGGAAAAGGGGTGCTGGGAGATTTGGGGAAAAAAGATTAAAAATACGCATCAAAAATAAGATTTATTTGATTGGGTTACAAATGAAGGGGCGAGACACACTGACAAAGCTAGAGTCTTCCCAGCGTCGCGCGCTCTCTGAGGTTACACTGCGGTATCGGATAAGGCACTTGTTGATCCCTGGTTTGACAGAACCAGAGAGGGGGGAAAAAAAATCCAGATTACAAGTTACATTTACACAGCGGCTTTCACGTCGAGAGGACGTCCAAAAGCATTTGCCAAACATTTGCAACGCCAAGCTGTAATTTCTGCCCATCAGCGGGAGGAAATCTGTGTCCGTGGCAATCCCCACCCAGATGGGATGCTCCGAAAAAAGGTATTTTGAAAAACGCTCCTCGCTAAGAAAAAAAAGTTTCGTTCTGAAGGGGAAAAAATATGCTTCAGAAGTTCTGGGGTACGGTTATATGTCTGTGTGTGTGAATGTGGAGAGGAGAGAGAAGGTTCAGCCTCTTGTTATAATAATAATAATAATGCTTGCATTTGATATAGCGCTTTTCACGTCGGGAGGATGTCCCAAAGCGCTTCACAGAACACACTGTAAAGTGAGTTGACTGTATATTTGTGGGCGAACGCGGCAGCCAATTGCGCACAGCAATGTCCCACAAACAGTCGTAGATTGGAAATGACCAATTTATTATTGTTTTGTTTTGGAGGGATTATTATTAGGCTCTGTGTGGAGTAAGGAAACTTGCCCAAGGTTTCGCCCTCTGCCTGGAATTGAACTCAGGTCTCTCGCTTGCAAAGCAAGTGCTCTAACCACTGAGCTACAGGACTCCAAGTCCTGTTAACCTTAAATGAAAAAAGCAGCAAATCCTGTCTTTAGGATTATTATATATAGAAAGTGCAATTCACATAGTGAAGTGTCTCAAACCCAACTAGTTACTTTGAAGGGTAGAGTGTGTACGTAGACAGGAGCAGCTAATCCCCCAGACAGTAATGAGATGAGCAACAGTTGCTCTGGTTAATTCTGACAGGCAGAGCGTGCCGGCTGGGCCAGAGAGAGATTCTCTCTCCTACTTCCTTCCAAACAGCACCACACAATGGGCGAGGGAAATCACGGCTCTTAACGTCCCGTCTACAGGATGGACCTGATACCACGCAGGACGTCACCCTCACCTGAAGGCGGGGAGGAGAGGGCGGAGAAAAAAATAGGACGTAGGCAATTTGCTTTGGCAACTTCTCAAATAGAAAAATAGTCAGACCAATGATGTGTGGTGAGTGGGTGGGTGGGTGGGGTTGGGGTGGGGGGGGGGAAGGAGAGGAAAGAAAGCAGCTTTGTGCTGTGATTGCAACTCTTCACGGGAGCAGGAAGGGACTGGACACACAGTCCCGGTGTGTAATGGGACATGTTCAGGCGTCTCCGAGCCTATAGCTGTGGGTTCAAGACTGCCTGATGCCATTCGGTTGATTCTGCAAAGGGCTGGGCTGAATATGGGTGAGGCAGATTATGGAATGGAGGAGTAGGAGGGGGCGGGTTGAGAGAAGAGACATTCTTCACAGCCCAGCCAAACCACAAGCCCAAATCCCACAAACTGAAGCGCTGAGCAGAGTCCATTTGAGACGTGCCGGGAGCTCTCAGGTGGGGAGAGCTTAACGGTTAATGGTTGAACTCCAATTAACAGGGCTTAACTTGCGATCCAACTCAGACTCACCTCTCTCCCACCCCCCGCCCAGACCCAGGCTTCTCTCAACTCAGCTAGTTTCACTGAATACCTTCCTAATTTGTTGCACACAAAAGGGGGGTGTGGGGGAGGAAGCTAGAAGACTCAATCACTAGCCACTGCCCACGAGTGAATACTAGGTACCATGCTTTGCTTCAATCCAGTCAACATGGCAGGGGGATGGGGACAGAATGCCAGGGAATTGAATGCGAGAATGTTAACCTTTTGTTCTTGTTTGGATGGGGGGGGGGGGAAGGTTTTTAAGGAAGAGAGCGATCCCCACCCAGCACAGGGAATGACGAGAGGTCCTTCCGATCCTGCAGTTTGGCTGGAACGGTCCTGATGCCCCGGGTTGTCTAATCTTCTCTCCGTCGTCACTTCACATTCTCGATGAGGACGGCGATCCCTTGCCCACCTCCGATGCAGGCGGACCCCACTGCGTATTTCCCCCCACGGCGCCTGGCCACAAACACAACAGTTAAACTTACTAATAGTAATAATAATCCTTGCATTTGATATAGCGCCTTAGCACGTCTTCAAGATATCTTAAAGCGCTTCACATTGTATTATATTTGGTGGGCGATACACGGCAACCAATTGCACACAGCAGCGTCCCACAAACAGTTGTGGATTGAAGTGACCAATTTATTATCTTTTTTAAAAATATTGGAAGGCATTATTACCCCCAGAAAACGATCCGCCAATGGACTAACAACTGGGTTCCTACTTCCTGCTAGGTAAACAGAGGAGTAAGGAAACTTCCCAAAAGTTTTGCCTTGCCCAGGAATCGAACCCAGATCCTCTCTACTTGTGAGGGGAATGGTCTAACCACTGGGCTACAGGACTTCACGTGATGGTTGAACTTCATTTGACTGGGTTTAACGCGTGATCTAATACAGACAGATACATCTGTCTCCTCCCCTCCCCAACACCCCCACCCCAGCTTTTCCCGCTAACTCAGTTTTACTGATCAACACATTCCTGACCTTTAGCTCACAGCATTGCCTATGAGTGACTGACAGGTTTTAACAGAGCACTCAGAGCAACAAGTTAACAGTTAGACAGAGCCTCGGGAGGACGTCTCAAAGCACCTCACCGACCACTTTGGAACATAATTAAAGTGATTGTGTATTTGCAGGTAAACGCAGCAAACAGCAAAGACTCGCAAAAAGTAAACAAACCATTTTCCTGGAGCAATTCGTTTTTGGCAGCTGGGTGTCTGACACATGTGAAACCCATCATCATGCTTAAGAGTCTCCAAACCAACCTGAGAATTCCATGGAAATTCCAGAGATAGGTTGTCGGAATGGAATGCGCACTCTCTCTCCCTGGAGGGACACATCCTGCTTACCTAATTTCGGAAAGTATTAGGCGCAGGTTGGCAAGAGCCAAGGCTTAGGGCACCAGAGTGTGCTTTGGGATAACTGTTGGAGAATTAGCAGCTAAAACAACAGTAGCCTCCCAATGATATCACAGTCTGGCAAGCTTTCCCACTGCTTGTCCAGCTAGGACCACCCCACCCATTAGGGCTTTGGCTTGCAGGGTTAACAGGAGTTGAGTGGGATTCTACCCCGCCAATGAGCCAGGGCTGGCTGCGCTGTTACCAACATTGCCCTGGAACGCTGAAAGAATATTGGCGGCGCCACTAGGAAAAACACTCTTCCATTTTTCAATAGTCAGAAGATGTTTTATGTTGACCTGAATAGGAACAGATGGCTCCTTGATTTGACATCTGATCTGGAATGTTAAAATAACCTCACCTCCAACAAATCTTTCATTTAACCTTAAATGTGCCAATATTGCCAGAGGGCCGTGGATGCTGAAAGCACTATAAGAGTGCCACCTGCTGTCAGTAATCGGCCTCTGACCAAAAAAATTGCTCAAACTCGGAAAACAGATGATACTGCAAATACACTCACACACAGGTGAGAGCATAAGAGAATCCATGCATGAGAGACAAAGTGTACTAGATAGAGAAAAAAGCACAAGATAGAGAAACTTGGATGAGAGCATGTGATCGAGAGGGAAAGAGTGTGACGGAGAAAGGGAAAATGAAAGCATCAGTAATGAAAGAGAATAACTAATTGGCTACAAGAAGACTGTCCTGCATTCTTTCAAGTTAAAGAGTAGTTAATAATAATAATCCTTACATTTGTTATAGCGTCTTTCACCTCAAATCATCCAAAAAACGCTTTACAGGATACATTATAAAGTGGAGTGACTGTGTGTTTTGTGGGTGAATGCAACAGACAATTTGCACTCAGCAGCATCCCAATTAAGAATGGCTTAAGAGGATTCTTACTGAAAGGCTGACAGACAGAGCGAGCTCTTACCTGAGCTCATGAACCAGATGTGCTGTGATCCGAGTCCCTGATGCCCCCAGTGGGTGGCCGAGTGCTATAGCCCCACCGTTAACATTGGTCTTTTCTGGGTCCAACTGCAAAGCCTTCTGTACGGACAGAAACTGAGCAGCAAAGGCTTCATTTACCTTTGAAGACGGAAAGAAAAGGGTTAGCAGTCCACAAAATATAGTAAACCTCACACAAGTCATGTCAGTTGGGACAATACATTTAATGTGACTTATGCAAAGTGTGAGTTATGTCAAATTTGCATAGAATATAAAGTCTTGATTGGGACTTGGGCAGATTAAGCAATTATAGGATTTATACAGATCAGACTTATGCACATTTTACTGGACAAACACCAGTGGGTCTGGTATGTCTGTGAATTGCTTCCAACATGTTTTGATTTTTGTAAAAATTGAAATGAAAAGCCACTCCAATTGCTTCGTCTTTAAAAATTTGGATTCTTAATCTAAAAAATACAATCTATGTATATAATAATAATAATCCTTGCATTTGATACAGCGCCTTATCACATTGTTGAGACGTCTCAAAGCACTTCACAGGATGCACTGCAAAGTGAATTGACTGTATATTTTTTTGGGTACTGCCAAGCTCAAAATCCCCAATGTGGACAAATTGTGCACGAAACAACAATGAATGGACAAGACCAACCTCCACCAGATCCATGTCCTTCAGGGACATTCCTGCCTTCTTCAAGGCCCCGTTGATAGCAGGCACCGGGCCTGAGCGAGAGAGACACAAACACACAGATTCAGGACAGTCACTAAACACATTTTGTCTAAAGCTCTTCCAGGGTCGGCAAGAGCACATTGGTGGTGTTGGGGGTGTGTGAGGGGGGAGAGGTGAAGTAGTCAGGGAACGAGGGGAGGGAATATGGGGTCTGCAACATAGTGGGGTTTGGCATCTTTGTCCGTGCAATGGAAACTGCAAAACTGAGATGGGATTTGGTTGGCAGGAATTTACTTACACACAGCTAATCAGATCCAATGAGTCAATCCAAGATGGGAACAAATTAAGAGATTGCAACCAATCCCCATTTCAGCCCACGCCTCACAAGCACTCACTGGCTGGCATTTCATCTCATCTGTCCAGAATACTCAGCCTACAGCCTTCCCAATACAGCACTGAGCTGCTACGTATACAGTCCTGGCCTCAACCTTTCTGTTAACTCCATTCCAGTCATTAATTACTAGCCGGATAAAGAAATACTACCTGTTGCCTGTCCTGAAATTCCCCTTCACACATCCTGAACCCGTGTCCTCTCGTCCTGCTGACTCAGTCTATCTGAATGTATTGTTCTGGGTTTAACTTTCTCAGTTTCGTTTCCCTGATTCTCCATTACTGAAAGGGGATTTTTCACAAGATCACAAGATGAAGACACTTCATCTCATCCTCCTTGAATCTCTTCTGCCCGTCCGACAGTCTTTCCAGGCCTGACTCCCAACAACTTTTTAATAGGCATAAAGTTAGCATTTAGTGTGACCATTAATCACAACAATAATCATGCTCTGGTTGCTCTAGGAAGCCATTGCCCTCCGAGCATAAGAACTGGACAGTTGGTGTTACGAGATCTCAGAGGTAGGGAGGAACACGACCACTGAGGGGTTTAAAAGTGAGGACGAGCAAAGTGAGAAGCACTGACCGATTCCCATGATGTTTGGGTCACACCCAGACACGTGATAGCTCACTATCCTGGCCAGAGGCGTCAGGTTGTGCTGTTGTAGAGCCTCCTCACTGGCCACAATCACCGCCCCAGCCCCGTCACACACTCCCTGAGGACAAGAGACACTATTAAAAATCACAGAAAGTTACAGCGCAGAATACTAAACTCAACCTGTGCCATAAACTCAAGCAGTAACAGTAACAGTGTGCGCGTGTGTCCATGAGGGGGCGGCAGGAATATAGGAGTACGGTTGCCTAGGGATGGACAGAACAGATAATTATAATATTTGCATTTGATATAGTGCCTTATTGTGTCAAAGCGCTTTCACAGAATATACTGTGAAGTGAATTTTAATTAAGCAAATATAAAGATGTGAAAACAGATTAATATCCTTTATCCGGTTTTCTTATGTGAATCCCATTTCCCTCAGGAGTTACAGAAGAAGAGGAGGCCATTCAGCCCACCGAGCCTGCTCTGCCTTTATATAGAATAATGGCATTTTAATCCCATTTCCTGATTGATTCTGGCCTCTTGAGTTTCACAACATAGCTCCCTGGGTACGTTTTGTGTGTGTGTGTATTTAAATAAATACCACAAAAGGAGTCAACTGCAGAGGTATAGGGAAAAGGCAGGTAAATGGGACTGATAAGATTATTCTTAAAGGAATAATGGCCTTCTTCTGTGCTGGAAATCTTTATAGTTCGATTGTGTGTAAGGGTTGGATGAGCACATATAATAATAATCCTTCCATTCGACATAGCCTCAACAGCTCAAGAGGAGATCTCAAAACGTTTCAGGGAAACTGTAAAGTGTAGTGACTGTGTAGGGCCAAGGTGGGGCCCAACCTTTTGGCTGCTGAGGGACGGATGCTCTATTTGAGAAACATCCGTAGGCTGCATAAGCAGTGTTTTTCTGTTTCCCTTCCAGAAATACTACCTAACATTTACGGGTTATGGAGGGAGTGGGAGGGCCAGATGAAATGGAGCTGGGTGGGGGTGGGTGGGGGGAGGGGAGGGGTGGGGTGGCAGATGAAATCAGGCTGCAGGCTGATTGCCACGTGTCAGCTGTTTGTAGGACAGCAGAGACCCACAAACAGCCATGAAGTGAATGCCTGACCTTATCTGGGGTGAGATCAGTGTTGATTACATACGGAAGCGTTGGCCGCGGTGACGGTCCCCTCTTTCTTGAACACCGGGGGGAGTTTAGCCATCTGCTCGGCCGTGGTCTGGGGCCGCGGGTGCTCGTCCTGCGCGAGCGACTGGGTGGCTTTCTTCACTTTGATCTCGACCGGAGCCATCTCCTCCTGGAAGTAGCCGGCGTCGTGAGCTGTACCCCACAGAAAAATAATAATAATCCTTGCATTTGACACAACGCCTTATCACTGGCCCGCTGCACGTTCCCCGCCCTGCCAGCCCCACCATCTGGTCTTCAGCCTTTCTGCCCCCACCCTCTGGAACTCCATCCCAGAGACCATCCACCTTGTCCCCCACCTCCCTTGCCTCCTTCAAGGTTTGCCCGGCGAGCGGAGAGGTTGGTGAAGGTTTAGTAGGTCACAGAGGTAGGGAGCAGCAAGACCGTGGAGAGCTTTAAAAGGAAGGACAAGGATCTTGGACATCGAGATGAACAGCCAATTATCTTGAATCTTGGGGTTAATTTAGAATGGGAGCCGGAGGGAAATCGAAGCCAAGATAACCGGGGGGGGCAGGGAGAGGAAAAAGACCACGTTTCTCTGAAATAGCATCAGGGATGGGAGAGGGGGAAAGACGACAAAAATTTACGCTCATTTTCATAGCGCTTTGCAAGGACGTCTCAAATCGTTTCAACAACAACAAATTACATTTGTATAGGGCCTTTCACGTCAGGAGCAACGGATCTGGGAGAGGGAGGGCGGTGGTGGGGGGACACAATGGCGGGGATGGGAAGAGGAGGTGCTGTGGACACAGGTTATAACTCACCAGTTTTCCACCTTTGCTGTGTCTTCAGTGCATACTGGTCACACTCCTCTCTGCTGATCTGGTATTTCTCTGCCAGGTTCTCGGCAGTGACACCCATGGGAGTTTTAATGTGCAAGTCAGTCAGCCCTGCCCACAACGTGTCTTCCATCTGTGACAATAAAAAAAAACTTTGCAAGATTATAACACGCTTCACTGAACCAGGAACGATGCAGCACAGGGGGCATTAAGGTCAACTGCAATGTACAGAAAAGTCACAGAGGCAGATTTAAGAGGTGGGAGAGCACTCGCCCCATATCCTGAATCCCTCCGCCTCGCCCTCCCCTGCCTCCTCAAGGCCCGCCTTGAGACCTTCCTCTTTGACCGTGCTTACAGCCACCTTTCCCGCAGCCTTTCCCACAGCCCCCCACCTCACCAGTTCAGAGTCAGGCTCCGCTACTGTTTAGCGCTCTGAGACTCTACCCTGCAAGTTGTTGACCGTAACTTCGCCCACCTCCCACTCCCCAACTCGGGTGCAAATCGTTTTGCAAATGTCCAGCGCCTTAGGAAGTCCTCCCGACGTGAAAGGCACTATAGAAACATAATTGGCTTTTCACAGGCTTCACTGTAAAGTGTAGTGACTGTGCATTTTGTAAGTGAACTCAGCAGCCAATTTGCGCACAGCAATTTCCCACAATCAGCCATGAGTATCCTTCGGGTGAGATGTTAAACCGAGGTCCTGTCTGCCTGTTCAGGTGGACGTTAAAGATCCCATGGCTACTAGAAAAGAGAAGAGAGTTTCTCTCTCCCACTGTCCTGGCCAACAAGCCGACAAATAAAAATATTGATCATTCACCTCATGGCTTTTTGTACAACATTGCTGTACACAAATTGGTGTCAAGTTTGCCCACAAAATACATAGTCACTAGGATTATTATTATACGATACAACATAAATAACCAATTTTATCAGGTTAGGACAACAACAATAAATAATTTGCATTTATATTATATCCCTTTAGTTCATTCAGATGTAAATTGCTGACCTAGCGTGTAGCTTCGGAAAAAAGTCACAAGCTTCGCACAGGATGAATTACTAAACAGCTAAATACATAAGCCCGAGTTAGCATTGAACTTCACGAGAAAAGTTACCTTGAGGTCAACCCCAAACTTTGTGCCAAACCGGATGTTACGGACAGCGTACGGAGCCTGGCTCATACTCTCAGACCCTCCGCACAGCACAATCTCTGATTCTTTCAGGCAGATTTCCTACAACAAAGAGAAAGAGGGGGTTGGATAATAATAATAATCCTTGCATTTGATGTAGTGCCTTATCATGTCTTCGAGACATCTCAAAGCGCTTCACAGAATATACTGGAAAGTGCAGTTGACTGTATTTTGTGGGCAAAACGCTGTAGTCAATTGTGCACAAACGGTTGTGGACTAAGTGACCAATGTTTTTTTGAGGGATTATTACTCCCTGGAAAGCGATCTGCCAATCGACCAAAAGTGACCAGTAAAGCCAGGATCGAGTTATCAGGGATTTACTGCAAGTTGAGAACGGAAATGGGGTTAAACGCTCAGACACAAACTATGTTAAGGACTCTGTTTAAATGTATAATGCATCTGACTTTGTGAAGTATTCTCCAGCATGAGCGGCGCCAGACAAAGCCATCGCTGTTGTAATTGACCACCAGTCGCAAGGCAGCTTCTCTCTGCAGTACCTGGGCTCCGTTGATGATGGACTGGAAGCCGGAGCCACATAGACGGTTGACGGTCAGGGCGGGCACTGGGATAGGAACCCCAATACGGAGGCCAACATGTCTGGCAATGTACGCAGCGTCGGAGGAACTCTGAAAACAAACCACACACACACACAGGGATTTTGTTAACAACCAGTTATCATCTGACACACGTGGAAGAGTCTCCAAACCAAACTACTGAGAGTTGAACTTATATATGACATTTTTTTTTGTCTGCAATGGAGTGCGCACTCTCTCCTCCCACTTGGATTTGAGGTATAGATCAGCCATGATCCAATAGAATGGCGGAACAGGCTTGAGGGGCTAAATGGCCTCCTCCTGTTCCTACGTTCCCCACCCCCCCCCCCACACAAATCCCAGAGGGAAGCAGCCTGCTCCTGGAGAGAATTTGGCAAAAGCCGAAGCTAAGGCGTACAGCTGGAGTTTAATCAGCCAAAAGCGCGCACAGATAATAATTCTTTTATTTGCACCCAGCTCCTGTAATATGGTAACACTTCATAAGGTTGCTGGCAAGTGAAGTGACTGTAAATTTGCAGGGAAAAGCTGCAGCCATTTTGTGCCCAGCAAAATCCAACAAAGAGCCCAGACATCAATGACCAATTTATCTTGAGGATTGTCGGCCAGGACACCGGGAGAAAAACTCCCTTCTTTTTTCCAAAGGGATCTTTAATATCCGCCTGAAAAGGCAGATGGGACCTTGGTTTAATGTCGCATCAGAAGACGGTCCGTCCAGCAATGCACTAGAGCATCAGCTTGGACTCTGAGCTCCACGTCCTGGTGGGAGGGGAGTATGGGCTGGAGTCCGCGGCCTCCTGACCCAGAGACAAGAGTGGTGCTGACACGAGGCGGACTTTGACACTTGTGCAAGATGTTGGAGTCACAACACGGATTTTTAGAAGACCAGTGTGGGGTGGGGGAGTGGGAGAATTAAGTCAAAGGCCACCAGGAGGGGAGGGGAAAGGTTGATGTGGGCAGCACTGAAATTATTCTCTTGGTTTGAAGTGGGAGAGGGGTTAATAAATCCCTTCACGTGGCACCTCCCTACCTCTCTGATCTACTTTCTTCCCACTCCGCTCGGCTGGCTCTGGCCTCCTGCTCGCCCCTCGTCTCCTCCGCTCTGCCATCAGCAGCCGTGCTTTCGCCACTAGGCCACTACTCCCTGAAGTTTTGGAACTCTCTCCCTCAATCCCTCTACCCCTCCTTCCCCTCTTTTAGATCACAACTGAAGATCTTCGTCTCAGACCATGTTCACGGTCACCTCCTCCCACCCCCTGGCTCAGCGTCAGGCTCAGCCCTGTTAAGCGCTCTGGAACACCGAAGGGCACTACATCAATGCAGGTTGTTAATAATCCTTGCATTTGATACAGCGCCTTATCACGTCATTGAAGAACATGTATGTCTCACAGAATATAGTATAAAGGGAATTACCTGTGTATTTTGTGAGCGAAACTTGGCAGCCAATTGCGCACAGCAGTGTCCCACAGTCATGGATTGAATGACCAAATTTTTTTTTGTTACTCCTGGAAAAGCATTCTGCCAATCAACTAACAACCGGGTTACTCACTGCCAGGTGTGTGAAGTAAGGAAACTTGCCTCAGGGTTTGCCCGGCATAGGAATCGAACCCGGGTCCTCTCGCTTGCGAGGTGAGCGCGCTAACCAAAACGCTAGAGGACTCCATTTAGCTCCAGTTTCTGCTCTGTATCCCCCCCCATCCCAGAGAAACTAAATAGTGACCTCTGGGCGGGGGTGTCAACCCATCACTCCCCTCCACCAAGCCTTAGCTAAAGACCAGATTCCACTCCACACTGACCTGCATGACGTTGCCGACAATGATGCTGTCCACCAGCTCAGGGTTGACGTTGCCGGAGACCAGAGCGGCCTTGGCTGCCATCATGGCCAGATCAGTGGCGCTGTGGTCCTTCAGCAGCCCACCATAGGCCCCGAACGGCGTTCGTTTAGCGGCAACAATGAACACACCTTAAACACACATAAAATCCGAATCTCAGAGACTCACAGCGGCCGTGGGCTCAACCCTGGACAAACTATCAGTACAGGGTGTCCTCAAAGTCCTGTTACCCCCCCACCCCACACACGTTTGTTCTCTACAGGGCATTCAGAAGAATTGTGTGCAGTTCTGGTCAATGCAATACAAAAAGGAAAATGCAGTGATTGAGAGGATGCGGAGGAGGGCAACCAAAATGATTGAGAGGGATGGAGGGACTGGACTACGAGGAGCGATTAGATAAATTGGGCATGTTCACCTCTGAAATCTTGTTGTTGTTGCTTGACAGGATTCACAATAAAGGATTCAGAATAAAATGATTGTGCATTCTATAAATGAATAAATGGGTTGGCCTACGTTGGAGCTGATGGGACAGCACGGAAACCCGACTGAAGGGGTTCGAATAATGAATGGGTGGAGAGGAAAGAGCGCAGATGGGAGGCCACAACTCGTTCCAGGACCTTGGACAGGAAGGGGAGGTTGGAGATGGGCCGGTAGCTTGATAGCTGCGACGCACCAAGGGAGGGTTTTTTCAGTGTGGGAGTGATGATGGCAGTTTTTAGGGGAATGGGAACAGAGCCAGAGGAGAGGGACAGGTTGATGATGTCTGTGATATGTGGGGCAAGGAGGTGGAGCTGGGAGATAAGGAGTGGGGATGGGGTCAAGGGAGCAGGTGGTGGGTCTCAGGGACAGGATGAGGTTGGTGACAGAGGGTGGGGAAACGGGTACGAAGGTGTGTAGGGGAGGATGTGTAGGAGTCGGAGTGTGGGAGGGAGGGGGTGGGGGGTGGATGGGAGTGACCCCGGAGCGGATTCCCTTGATTTTGGATTCAAGGAAATCCAGCATCTCCTCACAGTAAAGGTTGGAGGAGATGACCTGCGCGGGGTGGCGGGGGGGGGACGGAGGAGTCGGGTTGTGGTGGAAAACAGTAGCCTGGGGTTGTTCTTCGCCTCCAGGATCCTGGAGTAGAAGGACGACTTGGCCGAGGCTAGAGTGGAGCGGTAAATTTTGAGGAGGTCCAGCCAGATTTGTCGGTGGACCGTTAGGCCAGATTTGAGGCAGGTGCGTTCAGCGGCCCGCACCTGGCTCTTCAGTGAGCGGAGGTGGGTGGTGAACCACGGGGAGGAGCGAGAGTAGGAGACAGTACTGCCTGCCGAGAAAGAAACGATATCAAGTGCAAGAAATATTAACATAACACCAAGATGCTCAGCCTGGCTCAGCCAGTCGTGCTCTTGTCTTTGAATCAAAAGATTGTGGGTTATAAATAAATAATCCTTGCATTTGATACAGCGCTTTTCATGTCTTCGAGACGTCTCAAAGCGCTTCACAGAATATACTGTAAAGTGAATTGACTGTATATTAGTGGGCAAAAGCGGCAGCCAATTGTGCACAGCAATGTCCCACAAACAGTCATGGATTGAGTCACCAAATTATTATTGGGTTTTTTTCTTGAGGGATTATTATCAGACTTGAGCTCATAGTCCATGCTAACAATGTCATACTGGGGGGGGTGGGACTCAGAGCACTTTTTATCAAAGTGCTGTCTTTCTGGATGTGACATTAAATCAAGGTCTGATTGCTCGAGTAGATGTTAAAAGATCCTGTGACTATTTGATAAGATTAGGGAGTTTCTCCCAGTATCCTGGCTGACAATTCTCCAAAGAAATTGTTTGTTCACCTCATGGCCGCTTTCCGTGCCAAAATGGCAGTAGTGTTCGCCTACAAAAACAGTCATTACATTTGACACTCCATAAAGTTATCAGGCACTGGGAAGAAAGTCATGACCTGACTCAGACTCAGAGTGAAAAGATATTGCACAATAACAGACTGTTGTTCACAGTGATGATGGTGCAAACCTTGACCCCTCTCAGACTGTTTACACTGTGGAGAGAACACAATCCTGCATTGGGATCAAAGACACAGTTGATTAGAATTCTCATCTGGGAATAGATTGATTATTTATGGAGCATTTCAGAGGGAGCATTTATATAGTGTTCAATTCCCCTCTGCCTCTGTCCTCCCTTCCACCTCCCCACCAATGCCTTGGCTCTTGCCAAACAGCACCATGTTCTCTGAGCACAAGCAAAAAAAAAATGCTGTTCCCATCCCTGCACATTGCACAACCTGCAAGTAGAAACTCTATAACCCTGTTAGTGCTCGGCCGCTGGGCCTGGAGACGTGCAAACAGAGGCAAGAAGGTCCCGCAAGCGTCTGGTGCCTTGGAAGTGAATGACACTAAATAAATGCAATGTGTTGCGGTTAAAACAATCCCTGCATCTGATTCAGTGCCTGCAAGACTGAATTGTCTCGAAGCGTTTCACAGCTAATTGCTGTGAAGTTTTGCCACTGCCTTTTTCTAGGCGAAGAAGAAATAATGCGCGCAGCAAAGTCAGACACACATACAGCCATCATCAGCCAGGACAGCAAGACAAACTCCTATCCGAAGCTCTCTGCATGAGACAATGAGACTCAAAACCCTAGCGCTTAACCGGCTGAGACCCCGCAGCTTGCCATTGAGAGCATTGACAGACTACCTGCCACTTGTCCAGCTCGAACCACCCTCCCCATTACGACTTTGGTTTGCCGGTGCTAAATTCGGGAAGAGTCCCAGTCCGGCTCCCTGAAAGGGTTCGGGATTGTCATGCGAAATAGGGGTGCTGAAAAGCATTAAACATCCGCGTTGCCTGAAAACTTTGTCGGGCTTAAATGGCACTTCTGAACGAGGCTGCACAGTGTTCGGGAGCTGTTTAGAGGGCATTTGGGAAACTCACGATGTGAGCCTGCCGCAGTGACTCAGACCACAAGCTTCTGACTCAGGGCACTGTTGCCTCGGAGTCAGAATGTTGTGGGTTCAAGCCCCGTGTCAGGACTTGAAATTACATAGTCCAAAATAACATTTCAATGCAGTGCTAGGGGTGCGCTGCATTGCCGGAGGTCCCATTGTGCGGATGAGATGTTAACATCCACCCGAACAGGCAGAGGTCCTCTCCCACGTCACTACTCAAAAAGAAACACATCCCCCCCCGCCCCAATAAAATTGTGGTCACTCACTTCACGACTGTTTGTGGGACACTGCGCAATTAGCTGCCGTGTTTTGCCCACAAAATACAGTCAATTCAGTTTACAGTACATTCCGCGAAGCGCTTTGGGGCGTCTCGGAGACGCGCTAAGGCGCTACATTAAAATGCAAGGATTCTGTGAAGAACTTTTGAGTCAAACTGTATTACATCTCCTGTGGCGTATTGGTTATAGAGCACTCGCCTCGCGGGGGTTAGTCGATTAGCTGCCGCGTTTCAGCCGCAAAATACACGGCCGCTACGCTTTACGGTATAGTCCGCGACGTGCTTTGAGGCGTCTCGAACAACAACAACAAAACGACGTTCGCAGAGCGCCGTTCGCGTCGGGAGGACGTTCCCACAGCGCTGAACAGTCAGCTGTCGGGGCCCCGAGCGTGGGGGGAAGTGGGGGTGGTGGGGGGGTGGGTGGGTGGGTGGCGTTGGGGGTGAGGAAAGGCAGAGAGCAGGAAAGGAGGGAGACCAAAGGCGCGGTCGAAGAGGGGGGTCTCGAGACCGGCCTCGGAGGAGGCGAGGGAGGAACCGAGGCGAGGGGACGGAGCGCTAGAGCGCGGTGGGGGGGAGGAGGGGGGCAAGAGAGAGAGAGAGAGAGAGAGAGAGAGAGGCTGAACGCCCGACCCGGCCGCCGACGGTCGGGCGGGAGACACGGAGCGGGCCGGAGCCCGCTGACCGGAGGGCGCTGACCGGAGGGCGCTGACCGGAGGGCGCGGGGCAGGTTGGTTGGGAGACATGTTATCAGGAAGACATGATAAGGCGCTGTATCGAATGCAAAGATTATTATAGGTGTTATATACCCACAAACATCCCCCAATAAGATATATATATAAACACACACAACCCCCAATAAACACCAGGCAATGTATGAGAGAGAGAGAGGGAGAGAGAGAGGGAGAGACTGACCTCTGAGGAGAGCCATCATCACAGACTCACAACCACTGCCACAGACCCAAAGGTCACTCACAGCACCAACTCACTGCCCCCAAGCGCCCCGCCCACAGCCCAGCGGAAGCCAATCAGAAAGCGAGGCGGCGACGATTGACACGCGCTTGGCCAATGGAAGAGCGGGAAAGCAGCGGGGAGGCGGGGGGACCGCGTGCATCACGCTCGGTTGTCGCCTTACGCCTTACGCCTGCTGCTCCCGCGAGACGTGGTGACGCACGATGATTGACGGCCCGGCGCGTCCATACGAACGCCAGAGCCGGCGGGAGACCGTCCAATCGGCGGCGCCCGAGCGAGCGAGCGCGCGGCGTGAGGGCGGGACAAGCCGAGCGGGTTAGGTTGAGCGGCGTGGAAGCTTCTCGGCTGGAGAGCGGCTTCGGAAGGGGCGGGAAGGCGATGGCGGCTCGTGTCCGGGCTGTGTGGTGAGGCCTTTGTGCGTCCTCAGTGAGTTTATTTAATACCGTTTCTTCAGCCCCACACCCCCACACACACTCACACACACATCCACCAGGTGAGCGTCAGGATTTTCCTTATATGATCGGGGGCGAGAGCCCCCGAAGTGATTAGAACCTTCTCCGGCGATGGATGCGCTCAATTTACCTCAGAAAAAGCCGCGGCCCTCTTCGTTTCTCTATTTTTTCTCCTCAAGTTTCACCCTTTTAAGATGGGCCGAAGCAAATTTATAAAGGGGGACACGACGCCCCCACACCCCCCGCAAATTTAAAGGGGATTTGTCCTGCTTCACCCCGAATAATAATAATAATAATAGTCCTTGCATTTGATACAACGCCTTTTCTCTGTGCTTCTTTAAATTTGCTTTCCCCGTCCGCTCCCTCCCTCCCTCCCCCCCAAAAAAATATACATTTGCTTCATTCCCCTTCTCTTTTTCTTCTTAAGATTAAGATAAGGTCTTGGAACAGCCACCCATCGCTTTCCCGAACCAGGAGTCTGTCTCTAAACCCGGTCAATGATGACTAGTTCACTGCGCAATCCGAGTTCCAGAGTGGACATTAATGATGGAATGAGTGCTGACAGATGTCTGAGACCAAATAATAATAATAATAATAATCCTTGCATTTGATATAGCGCTTTTCACGCCCGGAATAGGACCCGGAGTCCCCGCAGAGTGTTTGTGAACCCTGTAGTGTATTGGACTTGAATCCTGAATCATGAATCCTGTAGTGTAGTGCACTTGCCTTGCAAGCGAGAGGTCCCCGGTTCAATTTCTGGGCGAACATAGAATTGCATAGAATATACAGCACAGAAACTGACCATGATCTACGCTGGCGTTTCCTTACTCCACTGGAAACCAGCTTATCTAGCAGTACGTGGGAACCCAGCTGCTCCTGACGTGAAAGGCGCTGTACAAATGTAATTTAATAATAATAATCCTTGCATTTGATATAGCGCTTTTCACGTCGGGAGGACGTCCCAAAGCGCTTCACAGAACACACTGTAAAGTGAGTTGACTGTATATTCTTGTGGGCGAACGCGGCAGCCGATTGCGCACAGCAATGTCCCACAAACAGTCGTGGATTGAAAATGACCAATTTATTATTGTTTTTGGTTTTTGGAGGGATTATTATTATTATTATTAGGCTCTGTGTGGAGTAAGGAAACTTGCCCAAGGTTTCGCCCTCTGCCTGGGATTGAACTCAGGTCTCTCACTTGCAAAGCGAGTGCTCTAACCACTGAGCTACAGGACTCCACGAATTTGTTGTTAGTTGATTGGCGGATTGCTTTCTGGGGCTAATAATCCTTTCAGAATAATGATAATGATTTTGGATCTTGGCTGCTTTGTGTGTGTGGGGGTCAAGTGCTAAATACACCCCCTGCCCGTTTTGAAAATCATATTTATTAATTAATTTTCTGTTTTCTCTGTTTCTCCCTTTTATTCGTCTTCTCTGAAAATATCTCCTGCCTGATGCTTTCTAATGGTAGGCTTCTCATTGAATTATTAGTGTTTCTTTGTGAAGTCTGTCACCTGTGAGGTAAATGTTTTTTTCTGGGGTTAAATCGGCTCTTGTTTTTACTCAACAAAACCGACAGCTCTCGAGTAATCCAAACCATTGATGATTGACCAACCTAAGTGGCTCTTCAATGATATTTGGAGTTATAGATCTGTCCTCAACATCACAACAAAAACTAGCACCCTTCAGTCAGTTAGAGCCTCGGAGCGTTTAACAATGGTGTAGTTTGATGCCGAGTTAGGGAGAAAGGGGAGATGACTGAAGGCACGGTCGAAGAAGAAAGTCTTCAGGTATGATTTGAAGATGGGTTAAGAGGGGCAAGGCAAAGGCAGTGAGTTGCAGAGGGTTGGGGCATAGTGGTTAAAAGAATAAGTGTAATAAGTAGGTCAGTCAAGGCAAGTATTGTTGGTAAAGTGTAGAATTAGCATTGTTCCATTTTTGTTTTCTCTGTTAATTGCTGTTCCATCCAGAATTTGGCAAGGTGGACAGACATTGTTGCCAGATAGAACAGGAATTATCAGGGAACAGAAACATATTTATTTATAATAAATAAATGCCATTGCAAAAAAAAAAGCTGAATTGCCTGAAACTTAATGTGCACATCACATTCCGGAGTGATGTTTTGACCATAGAGAAATGTCTTCAAGTCTTTGTGGGATTTGTCTTCCAGTGCCTTAGGATGTCTTCCTGACGTGAAAGTTGCTATAAAAATGTAAATTTGTTGTTGTTGGGATGCTGAATGTGCCTTCAGTGTTGCTTAAAGCAGTGTTTCTCATGAAAATGCAATTTCTTTGTAAGTACAACTGGACAATTTGTATTTAACATGTTATGTAAAATTCACAATAAAAATACATACAAATATATTATAAAAGAAACTTGTTGTTTTGCTTCCTCTTTTTTCCTCTTGATCTCATACTTTAGATTCTCATACTTTACAAAATATACGGTCAATTCACTTTACACCACACCATATTCTGTGAAGCACTGAGATGTCTTGAAGACGTGATAAGGCACTATATCAAATGCAAGAAATATTATTATTATTTATCAGGAAGTTCAGAAGAATACCACGCCTGGACTTGTTTTGCACTTAATATGCCATGTAGCTTAGGAACAACCGGTGTGCCAATTTCTCTTCTATGTCACACCATACTGGTGAAAATTAAATTAAGTTGGTGAGGAAAATAAATCTTTCTAGAGAAAATTCCAACCTCGTATAGTGTGTTTCACACACGAGATTGGTTTAATGTCTTTTACATAGACAGTAAAGCTTGGAACACCAAGCAAGATGAGGAAAGGGAGAAATCGGGGGAAAGGTGATTGAAAGCATGGCCAAATATAATAAAACTTTACACAGCGTGGCACCAAGTGGAGGTGAGGGGGAAAGATGACCAAAAGTGTGGCCAAAGATGGAACCTTGAAGGAGGCACGACTAGGTTGGAGTTGCAGAGAGTGGAGTTGATACGCTGAAAGCCTGACCTCAGATGGTGGGTGGGTGGCTACGTGAAGCAGGCTGCTGCCCACTGAACCGAATTACATTGATGTTAAGTGTGGGATAAGCACTTCACTGGAACTGGGTCATGTAATCATGTTTTATATTTTTATCATGTTATCTATTTTTGTGAACCCAATTAATTTTATGTTACAACAATGACTAGATATTTCAAATGTTCCCATGGTTCGGAAGCAATAAAGTTTATTTCCCTTTGCAATAAATGTCTACAGTGGTTTGAATAGTTTATGCCTGCAATTTAATTACAGGCACAATAAATTGCAATGATTTGGCTTAGTCATCTGCATATAATGTTCTACTGAAGCTATTCTGCATTAAAAGCCTGGAGTTATTTATGAATTATAGCTCTTTTTTTCTCGGTAAGTTTGAACCAATGGCAGTATCAAGGATATCTTAGTTATAGTCCCGGGCAGGGTGAAACCTTAGGCAAATATCTTTACTCCACTTGCCACTGTTTACCTACCAGTAAGTAGGAACATGGTTGTTAGTCACTTCCGTGGGTAATAATCCCTTTAAAAAAATTTTGGCTACTCAATCCATGACTGTTTGTGGGCCACTTCTATGCACAATTGGCTGCTGCGTTTCACCCACAAAATGTAGTCAATTCACTTTACAGTATATTCTGTGAAGCGCTTTGAGCCGTGATAATGGCTCTATATTACATGCAAAGATTATTATTTGAAAAGGGTTAACATGTAGATTGAGTGGTCTGAACCCTTAATTACATTGCGATTAGCTGCTGGTGTTTACAGTTAGTATGGACTGCTCTTGTGATTGGAATAAACAGATCAAGAAGGTCCAGGTTTCATCTCTTTGTTAGCTGTGAAATGTGTGTGTGTTAACCCAGAGCATATGATTCTGGCACTGGGTGCATGAAGTGGATATGTTTCTCTACTGCTAATTTCTGTCCCACCCCGCCCCCTGGTCTTTAGAGTTATAATAATAAATATCCTTGCATTTAGGATAGTGCCTTAAACGTCACCCAAAACCGCTTCACGGAATATACAGTTCCGTAAAATGGCCTTTTTTTTAATGGGCAAAAGTGGCAGCCAATTTGTGCACATCAATGTCCCGCAAACGTCCATGAAGCGAATGACTAATTTTATCTGATCGCCAGGAAACCTGGAGAAACTCCCTTCTCTTTTCGAATGGTTCTCTTTTCGAATAGGATCTTCAATGCCTATCTGACCAGGTAGTTGGGGCCTCAGTTTAACATTTCATTCGAAGGATGGCATCTCCAGCAATGCAGCACACCCCCAGCGCTGCCTTGGAGTGTCAGCTTAGATGATGTGATTCCAAGTCCCAATGTGGGGCTTGAACCCACAACCTTCTGACTCAAAGGTGAGAGCGCTACCAACTGAGCCAGGCTAACACTCAGCTCATTGCAGGGTTTTTTTTCCTGTGTTGGTAACTCTCACAGCTTCCGTCACATCCCACTCAGCCCAAGCTGAAACTAGAATTTACAAAGTAATTACAATGAATTATTTCGCTGGTTCTGAACTGCTTGGAGCATTGCTACAGAAGCAGAATTGCCAGGCTACCATGGAAGCAACACAGCAATAAAAGGTAATCACTGTAAATTCAATTCCATTTTAATATCTCATAAAATATGAGAGCATAAAAGTCTTATGAAAAAAGTGTTTGTGCCCAGCGAAGCTCATTCCTCCAGTGCATTAACTCCTCTCATAACATTCAATTGCAGTTTCAATGTTTTATTTTATCTGTTGCCTCACTTTTTAGATTATTGTTATGTGGAGTCCTGTAGCTCAGTGGTTAGAGCACTCAACTCGCAAGCCAGAGACCTGGGTTTGTTTCCTGACAGTGTAAAATGTTGAGCAAGTTTCCCTACTCCACACGCCTCTGTTTACCTAGCAGTATTCAGAACCCGGTTGTTAGTCGATTCTCGGATCGTTTTTCGGGGGCGGGGGTAATAATTCCTTCAAAAAAAATAATAAATTGGTCACTTTAATCCACGACTGTTTGTGGGACACTGCTGTGCGCAATAAGCTGCCGTGTTTCGCCCACAAAATATACAGTAAATTCACTTTACAGTATATTTCATCTCACTTCATCTCCCTTTACTCCTCAATCCCTCTCCCACTGCCACCCAAACCACCTACATCTCCTACCGCCCTTGGAAAAAAAACTTCCCCCACCCCACCACCACCTCTCTTGCCTTGGAGTCATCTGAGCTCTCCTTCTGGAATTCCTCCCGCAATCACCTATTCTTCTTGGTCGCTCTCCTCCACAACAGCCCTCTCCACCACTCTTGATTCCCTTGCTCCCCTCACTTCCCGAACCGTCACCTACTCACCTACTCATGAAAATTATGAAAATTACCATGGTACCACCTCAGCTCCCTTAAAGCACAGGTGTGTGCTGCTGAACACACCTGGCTTAAATCGGTCCATTCGCAGATCTGGCTGATCTCCCAGATCAAATTTTACTCCTCCACTAAATCGTTGTTCTACTCCCAAGAAAATCTTGAAGGCCAAGGACAACCCCAGGCTCCTCTTTTCCATCACCAAGCGGCTCCTCCACCCACCCTCTCATGCCTCGCCCATC